TCTCTACTACATTTATCAATTACTTTTACTATTTGAGGACGGTTTGACAGATATGATTGAAAGAAATTATTTGATATACCCCTTATGCCTATATCTTCTAGGGTTTCTAGGAGAAGAGCATGGTTTAGCGTGTCGAAAGCTTTTGCTAGATCTAAAAATACTACGATTGTTGGTAAGTTATCATCTACATTTTTATATAAGGTGTTTATTACTTTCAGTAGAGCGTCATCTATCGATTTGCCTGTTTGAAAATCAAATTGAGACTTTGATAATATCTGATATTTATCTAGGAGATTATTTAGTCTTACTTTTACAATTTTTTCTATTAGCTTAGATAAACAAGATATTAATGATATCGGTCTATAATTTGTCATTTCATCTTTTTCTCCACTCGTATAGATAGGTTTGACAATTGAAGTTTTAAATGCTGAAGGGAAATGTCCAATTGCTGAACGATTTATTTATTATAATCATTAATGGATACGCAATATATTCAGAGATGTGTTTAATCGTTTCAGCTTTTATTCCATCCCAACCCGGTGCTTTTTTGTTTTTTAGTTCACGAATTATATTTTTTATCTCAGTATTTGTGGGTGTAAATAAGAATCACAATTTACAGATTTGTTTTCTTTGTAATATCTTGGTTTTTCTATAGAATCTGCTAAGTTTCGTCCTATGTTTATAAAGAAGGAAAGAAACAATTCACAAATGGACTCTTCTTCATTTATCAATTTGCCTTTATTGTTTTTAATATTAATGATATTTGCGTTTTTTGTTTTTCTTGATATTGAATTTACTACATTCCATATTTTTTTTGTTCCTTTTCTATAAGTTTATTATAATAGTAAGGTTTAGCAATAGTAATTAATTTATTTAGTTGTTTGTAATCGATATAAAGGACTTTTTTTTTAACCCTTTTATTTTGTTGAGAGTTTCGCAAGGTTTAGTTTTTTAAATATTTATTTAAGTAATACATTTTTAACTTTACCTATTGGCTTATAATTCCGGTTATTAAACTATGTATAAAAACCCCATTTTATCCTTTTACAGCACCCGGAATTTCTTTACTGCAGCAGTAGCAATTCAAACTTGCTGTTGTCGCCTTCTGAATACTTTGACCCCTGGAATATTCCGTATCTTCATCTGGTGTTACCCGAGTGCCTTTGAAGGTGTATCAAGTGTTGTGGAGCAAACCACATTAGCTAAAACTGGCGCCCAAAAATGTAACGTATAAATAAAACAACAAAATTTATGGTAATGATAATTTAGATATTTATTAATTGATACCTGCATTTTGACAGTGTTATAATTTAAAAAACAAAATATTTTGAAATCTCGCTTTCATATACAGACTTATATTAAAATTCATTATATATAATATGTACGTTATTTATAATTCTTTCTAAAATATATGTCCTAAAAACTACATATGCCATGAGACTTAAAATCGACAAACTTAAAAATTAAAAATACAGAAAATGTATATGAATACTCTGAAAAATATAATATATCTATATACTATAACATAACATAGAAGTTACCTAAAGTAAAAACTTAAATGAAAGACTTAGAGGTAATGAAATGAGTAGATTACGTTTTTTTTTTAAACAAGACGTCCCAAAATGTCATCTATCGTCGGCCATTACGAAGGCCCTTATTCTTATTGCCAACATTTCAGACAGAAAAACACAACCATTTCGTATTTATAAATACAATCGAAAAATAGTTTTGTTTTTATTTTATTTTTTTTAGATTAGGTATATTCACTACTTACAAAACGCTGAATATATGGCAATTGTGACGCACGTAATCTGACTTTTATACAAAATATCATTTTTTGAAATATTCATTGTGATACGTCCTGTAGAATACAATATGACTTTTAGGTGCAGTTTTTTATAAACAAGAGATATTTACAAATATAGGATCGAAGAATGATTTTTCTTAAAAAGATACCATCAATTGTATCGACATACTCTTTTTGAGACACACGTTTTAGTCCAGCAATTCAATACAATTTCAATTTTCATAAATTTTATAATTAAAACTATTAAAAGATTAATTTGACCAACTATAAGGACGGAAATAGACGGATCTTAAGTGCGGTTGCAGTCGGCTGCATTTAACAGTCGCATTTCAAAAATACGACTGTTAAATACGACTGTATAGTTCAGTCGACAGCAACTGCACGTTGCAGTCTATCTATTTCCGCCCTAACAACAGATTAATTTGACAAGTATGACAATTGTGATAAGTATGACAACTGTGACAGGTGTGCCAACTGTGACAAGTACTGTCACCATTTCTATGAAACGATTTAAATGTATAAAGTTATTGTCTAGACTCAAAAAAAGTGATGTCGAACTGAACTACGACACAAATATGGCAGACAAACTTTCACCATCATATAATCTTTCAACTATCCTAGTTTTGCCAAGACAAGAGAAAAAGCAACAATGATTAAACGAAAAAACAATAACGATCAGAGAGAAAAAATTATAGAAAAAAAAAACTACAATATGGCTCAAAAAAACACGCAACCAAAACACGGTTGCGTTCTCAAGGTAAGGTAGCGCGACCATCTACACAAATTTTTCTGTTTCTGTAACTTCGACAACGAGATCTGTATTTAATTTCTGTATTAGTTTTAAAAATAGTGTACGTTTTTTTGATAAAAACATCGTTGTTTCCTTCAAAAATTCGGGCCACTACAATTTTATATATAATTTATTTTTTGTAAAACTAATCTCATATCTTAGGCAACATTTACACCGAAACGCTTGGACTAACGATCAAATACGCCATCTACAGGTAAATAGTTATATATCTTATCTTTAAAAATATTTAACTGCCCGTACTATGCGAAATATATATAATATAGATAAAAAAACAGATGATTGCTTCGCATTTGGATTCTTCATTTATCATCCAAATTTTTTTTTACTCAATATAACAAGCTTTGGTTATACACTCTCTTAATGTACAGAACTTACATTTAAGTCCCACTCAAAATATATATTAGTTTTTTTTATTATTTTTTGTTTAATGTTCAAAATCAGGAATGTAAGCTCAACCATCTAGTGATATTGTCATGGACTTTTTGATTTTTCCGATAAATTAGCTACAATTCTAATGCTAGCTGTACATTTCCAGTCAGTTACGTCAACAGCCATCTGTCATGAAGCAGCGACAGCTCAAAGATTTGTTTGATAAGAAAATTTATCTGACCGAATCGGAGTTAAATCTGTCTTATCAAATTATTATCTCGTAGATTCTTTTTAAGATGGCGCAAAAAAGCATTTAGGACATCACAGCGATATATCGAACGTTTACAGACCTAATCCATCGTTTCCAAACATTATTTCGCATTATATTTAAACTAACCCTCGGCATAATTCAGTGCTACCGTTTCAAAACCAAGGAAGAGGCCAGAAAAATCGCCGCTTCTAACGTCTGACGTTTGACAACCGACAGCTATATTAGAATTTAAATTTATAAAATTTTCAAGATTAATAAAAAACTTTGAAAATGACGAGACTCGGTCCTACATCACTAGATATATTATTATAATGTATTATATAATACTGGGAGGCTCATTTAAATAGTAGTCGGTATGTAGAGCGGGTAGAAGGCCACTGTCAGTCTAGTCGCCTTTAAACCGGCAACTGTAAAGATGTCTAAAAAAAGAATAGGACCTTACCGCTCTAATGTGCAGTCTTATAAATCCACAGATCTAAGTTAACTGCAGAATAAATAAAAATGGCGTCAATTATTTGAATAATACATAGGGATTAACTCATATTCTGAATTAACCTGCATATTTAAAATTTTCAACAATTTGGAATCTGCAAACAATGTTTTTTTATCATAACAAATCACCCAATAACGTAAAAAAAAGAATAAATATAAAAAACAATAAATAACAATATAATAAATAAAATGGTGACAAAAGTACATGAAGCTTTAACGAAAATACACCTAAACAGGCTTACCAACACTTATAATGAAATAATACAATTAACATACGTCATCGTATCTGACAGGTGAGATCGTAACGGTTTAGTCGTGTTTTGGCGATCGCACTGAGTTTTTAATTTTTTTTTACTCACCTACAGCACAAATTATTTCAATGAGACAAAGAGTACGATCTAAAAATTGTCGCAGGAAATAAAAAGCGAATGAAGTTGCTTTAGAATCGCTTAGATAAGGCTTGAAATGCTCAGTAACCTATTTAAAAGATGTAGAAATAGGTATCAGAACATTTAAAATTTGATCAAAGAAATTAGAGATGAAAATGACAGTAGAGTAGTGAATAATGTAATGGATGACATTAGGGGCAAAAAACCCAACATTGGCAGTAGACAAAAGAGAACATAGTAAGATATAGCCCTAAAAAACTATAGGCAGTTTAAAGTAGCATCACAGTCTTAGTTTTATGGAAGGCTATAACAGAAAACGAACTGAATCAAATAAATTTGTTCAATCCGAACTACTTTAACGATCTCTAAATTGTAATGGCGTGGGATGAAGATATTTAATATTTGATTAGAAAATGGTGGACACGATGCAGTCGGCCTATTCTAGAAAGTCATTGGGAAGAAATTGATTGCAACCAACAATGGATTTGTATTTTTTGTAATAGCAAGCGAGATTTGCCTACTTTTAGAAGTGAAGATAACCTCAGAATTTCTTCAGGAAGATTATTCTTATTGTATGCGTCCCGTTACTGACTTCACAGCACAAGGTTATAATGGTTTACGTATTGACTGAAGTTAGATATGGAGGGGTCACTAGCAACAATCTTCCAGGGCCAAAGTAAGAGCAATAAACATGTGCCCAGATCATGCTAAATAACTCTCTTAAAGTCGCTAATTCAGATTAGATAGTGATATGGACACTTCTGAAGGGTAAATGATTACGTTATAATTTGAATTATCAAAATTTATTAGCAGCAATATCGGCGTGGTGTAAAAAATTGTAGTTAGAAAATTTTGTTTTGAGATTATTGGACTGGGAAATAAGAAAGTAAGTGAGGGATCAGAAATTGTAAAAGCTAGAAGTTATTATTGTATTTTGGATCGAATGATGTTTGATGTTCATTAAGATATTTTTCAGTTTAAAGGAAATTGTTATAAATATTAAAAGATCAGAAAATTATAATAAAAACGAAAGCAAAAGAAACACAGGCATACAGGGTATACCAGAGACGGAGTAAAAAGGAACCCGGGAGAAGAAGCAACTATCAGCACCAATAAGGCAGTGACAGAGAGGGCAGAGGCGGAGAAGCACAGAACTCTAAGCAAGGCACAGAGAAACAAGAAGTATTCTCATCATTTTTATCATTTAAACAGTTAATTCAGTGTGTAATATTTTAGATAATTCAATCCGCCCTGAGATGAGATCTAATTTTGGAGCCATAGAAAATTTCAGGTAAAAATTGAAATAGAAATAAGAAAAGAATATTTGAAATTAAAATTAGGTAAGACTTTTATGTTGTATTGTACTGAATTGTTGCTTTATGTTGGCAATTGTTAGTAGATCAGTAGCTATGTGTAGAATAGCGATATAAATTAATTTCCATATCCCGAAAGGAGGTTTCCATATCAATAGATGGATAATAGATATGGAGTGAAAATAATGAAAGAAATGTACTCCCTAAAGGATAATTTTTATAAAGTTACTCCCCAAAGGATACTTTATATAAGTCGCCACGGGCTTATTTAGATCGTACTTTGCTCGTTTGAAAATTAGAAGAGCGGTGATATAAAAGTGAGGGCCAAAAAACAACTAACCGACGTCATGTTGATCAATTCCTCAGTAAAGTTAGATCTGTAGCAGAGCCTCCGACTCGTTAACAGCGGTATATTGAGTAAACGTTTTTTAAAGAACACAGATACAGCTTGATTTGATTGATCTTTGACCATCACGAGAGAAAATATCGAATTAAATTGTACTTCCATCAAGTGTTGAGATCGGGGTGATTCGCACCCTATTCCGTTTGTCCCTTTTTGTTTATTTTTACAATATTTTTTATTAAAGAACACATGTTTGGGGGGGCACTATTCCGAGTGTCTCTTTTAAACTGATTTAGCGTTTGGTCGCGGGCGCGTATCAGTCGCCGAACCTCGAGCAAGCCTTTTTCCATTTGCACTGCGTGCACCATTGTTCCCTGTGCTCCATGCCGTACACCTTCCTGCACTTCTTGTTCTCGCCACGGATCCTCCTCGGCGACACGGGCGTCTTGGGGCTGTGCGGTCGCGGCGACAACTTCAGAAGCTTGTGCGGAGATTGGGGAATGGGGTGCTGCTGTTGCAGGATGGTTTGGCGCATATTTCCGACGAGGAGTCTTTGGTAGTCAGGGTCTTCGTGGAACGGTCTCGCCATGTCGCGATGCGAGAGCGTGGGCGGGGGGCTGGTCAGACCGAGTTCGACTTCCGTGTAGTAGAACTCTTCTTCGGCGTCTTCGCACACTTGGTCTCTGTAAAAGAATAATGCTTTTAGAATATTTATTAAATAGAAATTATCTAATAAAACTGTAGGAGAACCCACATACAACCGGATTAAAAGCACGCATCCATACCTAGGCGTAGTAGCGAGTCATCGTAGAGGTTAAGGTTTCATCGTAGGGTTCTCGCGAAATCGTTCTGGCAGTTTTAAAAGAACAAAGACTGTTAAAAATTTTGCTTCCTACTTAAAAAATTGGTTATGGAAGCTGTCAAAATGCTTCAACAGACTTTCAAAAAGTTTGTAAGTTTTCGAGTGGTTTTACACGTGAAGACTGTTTGAAGATCACGCTCATTTGCAAATCCTCAATCAAAATCCGGTGACAAAAAACTTACTAAACTCTAACTCACTCTTGTGTCTGTTCTGAAATTTTGCGGATCGTGATAAAGGTTTTTTTTTGTTTTTTCTATAAATTTTAATGTCTTTTGGTGTATCTGAAATCTTTATATTTTTAAAGATTCTGATTTTTTTTTTAATTTTCGGCTTGCTTTTTAGATTATTTCTCGGTATTTGTCAGGACACCGTCGTTCCTTTGTAGTACCTAAATATGTATGACCAATTTCAGGAAATGTAGTCAATGCAATGAACATTTTTATTTTGAGCTGCACAAGAATCCGACCAAATAATCAAGTTTAGCATTTAATTTCATCAACTTCAGTGCATTGTAACAGAGAGCTACATGTTTTTTAAACGAACAAAAACTTCAAAGCTAATTATATCAGTTTGTCGCTATTGAGAGTTGGTAGCTTCCTGAATAATGCCGTGATCTTCAACACTCATCTCGCAATGTTAATAAATTATTTAGTGACGCTATAAGGCAGAGTCTCTAAAGAAGTAGCATAAATTGTCTGTAAATTTATTGACATAAGATAACACAACCAATAACCAAAGATTTTTGGATAATCTGGGTTTCATTATTTAATTTGATATTGTTTGATTTGTGTATAGATGATGAACTACTCAAAATTTAAATTCAAATTGTGGAAACTGCTGAACATTTTCACTGGATGAACTCTTGCCAGGACCCGGCAACCATTGCACCTTAAGAAATTTCGTCGGTTGGCCTTGGACCGTTACGGAACCGTTGGCGAGGTTATGTGGCAAATCTAGCTATGTTAAATTCGGTTGAGGGCATGGCTATGTTAACATTATGCACCAAATACCACCGTTATAACTAGGCACTTGGTTGGTTTTATATGGGTGTGACGAAAATCTTACGGAACTGTTTATGGCGGTTGCACGAAATCTGCTCGTGTTCGCTGGCGTCGAAATAGAAATTTTTTTATTCGCCATTTTTGGAGAAAGTAGAAACGTTTTTTTTTACTACTAACATGAGAAATCACCATTATTTACTCCATTCCTCTAATGAGAAGTATTTTTTCACCCTAGGTAAATAATGAAAATAAAAAAAAAACACCTGAGTAAATAATGAAATTGAATTCCATTATTTCATTTTGTTAATTTGACAACTAAACTCCCAGAGTACTTGATATTTCGAAATATTTGAAATACAAGTAGGACATAATTAATGTTGGGTTTATCAAAATCTAATCAAATCAAATATGGTAATATATCAGTGTTAGTAGTAAACAAAATTCTATATATATACTTCGGTTGAGGCCATTATAAACCTCGCACATTATAAAAGTGCTCGGTAAATAATAGCTCATTTCTCAACCTAAGTGTATAATGTACTATTCCGCATAATACATATAAAAATATACGTATAATACTATTATTAAGCTCTGCTTGCTTGGCCATATGCTATACACGATTTGAAAAGCGTTCGATAGTAGGGCTAAAGACATCAAATTAATTTAAATATTCATGATATGATTTGAAGAAGATCCCACCAAATTGGAGAATGTATGACATCAAAATTTGTCAAAAATGCATTATGCTAAATCAAAATTAAAATAGAAATCAGGATAACAGAGCCGTGTGGGATTAACTTAAGTTTCAGACGACTCCAAAAGTAAAGCTATCTAAAACGGAAATAATTTCAAGGTTGACACCTTAGATCCAAAGACAATCAGTTAAGTTACAAATTAAAAATTCAGGAGATAAAACCTAAAGAGCAACAGTTCAAAGATAAATGATAGTAAAACAAATTTAGGAGCAAGTGCAATGACTAAAAGCTCTAGTAAATTGTATTATTTGCCAGACTAAAAACCAAACAATATTAACCCAACCCTATTTAAGTCCCAATAACTCAAAATCAGTACATCATAGAATTCAAATTATAAACCTGGCAGAACCTCTAACATCTGGCGCCCAAGGTGGGTGCTTTTTCCGTTGATTTTTGGAATTATTGGAAAAATAAGAGATTATCAGAAGCGATTTTAAATTATTGTTAGCGGGAAAATAATTTTTTAGCGGATATATTTTTGTAATTTAATCAAAGGTTAGCACTTGCTGCAATCAGGTAAACTTTCAGGAGCAGTACAAGAGAATCCAAAAAAAAAAAGAAAGGAAGTCCCTAAGATAAGTTGGTAAGTCACTAAGAGGTCTTTTAATACTTGGATGTAACTAAATAGGGTACAAATTTGGTGATTTGGTTGGCTATATCTCAAAGGGTTAGAAAATAAGAATATATTATCCCTAATTTATTGACAGATAGCAACAAAGGTATAGAAATAAACAACAGATTTATAGCTGGTGTCAGACTTTGGTTGTAAAAGATTTTCAACTCGTAACAAAGTCGGAAAAAAGTAATTTAACTAATTTGAAAAAAAATTTAACTCATCAATAACTCTTTCACTATAAACTAGAGAGGAAATAAAAGGTTAGTACTCGAAAACATATTAAAGCACCATCTAAGTATCATACTATAGGTAATTCGGTTATGTCATGATGAAATAGATGATGTGTATCTCATGCTACGTCATGCACGCAGTAAGCAGCCTTGCATTTTCAAGGCTGAATTCGCACGTTTACTAAAATACTGTTTACTATCTGGAAATACATTTTTTTTCGCTATGACACGTGCTATTTGTGTGCTTCTTCAATTTTGATGCGAAGGTTATGTACGTATATTACAGAACTAACTCATTAATTTTTGTTTTCCTATATATTTTTTAGAACTACTGCATGTTTTCGTCTCCATCGTTATCAAATCAGTGTTTTCTACACGTGCCAAACATGTTTAATTACCTGTAAACATTGGAATAATAAACAATATCTAGTTTTATTTTTTGTAATCTTCAGAAGTATCAGAGAGATAGACAGGTACTAAGTATGTAGATAGATAATAGGTATCTCTTGATTATTTATTGTTATTTTATTCAAACTATCTGCTGCCAGCTTCCTTCTAAATAACTTTTTTTCTACGATTACTATCCAAAGTAGGCTTTTGCGCTTAGAAATCCAACCGCAAAGTTGACGTTTTCCGCGAACTGGCATTAAGTGACAACTTTGTCAGTAGATGGGATTAGCCAGTTCTGGACCAAGGTCAGAGGCAAGGTCAGAGGCAATTGGTGTAATTAGTAATTACCCTAAGTACCCACCCCCCACCCTTCGAGCAAGTACCCCCCACCCTTCGAGCAAGTACCCCCCACCCTTCGAGCAATTAGCAAGTACCCCCCACCCTTCGCACAATTAGCAAGTACCCCCCACCCTTCGCGCAATTAGCAAGTACCTCTGAATTACTCTGTACACCATGTTATTGCATAGTGTAATGAGTGTAATTGCATAGTGTAATGAGTATAGTAAGTACCTCTCAGTACACATAGTGATGTAAGGACCAACCAATTATTCTGTACTGAGTGTAATTGCATAGTGTAATGAGCATAGTAAGTACCTCTCATTACACCATATGCATACCTCTCAGACAGTATTTACTGTGTATATCACATAGTGTAATAAGTCTAAGTACTTCTCTTGTTTACTGTTGTAGCATAGGGGAAATAAGTCGGCGCCATGCACACCCTTGACTCTCAACCGCCATAGCTAAAGTGAATCACCGGTCTTCGGCAGACACGCGCGATGTAAATATTGTTGGAAGGGGTAGTATCCCACCCTTCGCGCAATTAGCAAGTGCCTCCCAATTATTCTGTAAATTATATACTTTAATGAACGTAATTGAGTAGTGTAATGAGCATAGTAAGTACATCTCATTACCTCCTAGTGATTACTATGTATTTAGAATTTACGTTACTCTATACCGAAGTAACAAGAATTGGAGCTGTTCCCGTATATTATGAATAGGGGAGGGGAGCATAGTGGAGGCGGGGATTTATTGAGAGGTATATAATATCACATCTATACGAATGAGATCAGTCGCGAGCTATAAGTGCGTTGGAAGTTTCATTATCTAATATCGAAATAATCATAAAAATAATAGATATGTATAAGTGTAATTGCGGTTTAACATTTACAAGAGCAGATAATTTACGACGACATCAAAATAAAAGTTGTAATCTGATATCTAACCGCAATGGTGAATCATCCAGCGGTACGAAAAGAACCGCCAATTCAAGCCCGGATGTTTTACCGGTAAAACAAGCTCGTGTAATGCGAGTTTCACATCGTACCGTAGACCCACAAGTTCATAAAAGTAGATGTGAATCATGTAATGTAGACATCGCAACCAATCAGATGACATCACATATGAGGAGTCTTAGTCATAAAGAAAAGGCATGCACAATTCATGTCGATGGTATATATTTAATTAAGAGTGCATTTAAGTGCAGAATCGCAAGTTATAGAGTCAAAAGTGATGAAAAACATATAGACTATATAACATTTTTTGAGGCTATAAAAGTGAGGGTATTGGAATTGTTGAAAGTTGTTCTGAGGGCCCATAATGCCATTAAAGTTAATGTAGAGGTCTTCGCTACATATGTATTGCAGAGCCAAGATAATTCTGAAATCAAATCTTTTAATAGCATAAATCGAATACTAGATTTGCCGACGGATTTGGATGTGGTATATGCAAACTTTAAGGACGCCTTGGTATCTCAAACCGTAGACTTC